AGATTTTAAAAGCACAAAAGTCAGGAAATCTAATGTTATGGTTTCCAGAGCCACTGGAACCCTGCCAAAGTGCCATACGTGCAGTATGTATTAATTTGGCAGATTTATGATTACTGTGCAAGCCATAATTCCCTTCACAAGTTCCTTTCCTCCTGCACAGACATATGATATAGGGAACCATTACAGGGGTAGAGGGAGGGTTCAGAGGTGTTATTGTCCCTCTTAACAGTTGTTGTGTTCCCTGGTGCCACCAGACTGTGCCCCTGCTATCTTTCCACGAAACCTTCTCTTTGAGGAGAAAGCACAAGAGAATTGTTTGTTTACCACAGACAGTATCTCAACAATGACCTCTGCTGGAACACTGGCTATCTGCTCTTCATCAGACATCATCAGAGAAATACCTACATCTGCCTTACAGGGGTTATGAACAGAAACTGCTGTTTAAAAATAAAGACCTAGATTCTCAGCTGATGTAGATTGGCATAGTTCTATTGAAGTCAACAGAGCTACGCTTATCTATGCTAGCTAAGAAAAGAAAATGTCTCAAGTTTCCTTTTCTTCCTTTCTCTTCAAACCAGATGAAGTTTTACTGCCACAGAACATATCATTTTTACGAAGTATAGTTAGAAAGAAAAATACATGGAGAATAGCTGCAGTGGTTCCTTCATCAGCAAATTTCATCTTAACCTCAGTTAAGTCACACTAATTTGAGAAATAGGAGTGGAGCCTATATCTCTTCATATAGAAGCACCCCACTGTTTATCGGGCATTGAGAAAGTGATCTTTGTTCCAACATCTTACAGTGGTTATGGCTGCCAAATCTTAACCTTGCCATCTGGTTCTTACTGAAATTCAGTAACACATATGGGGTCATCTTCCATGCTGTCATTTCAGTATCGCTCAATGGCTCATTCATTTGGGCTGCAGGTTTCTTTGACCACTGAGAATCCCAGCTTTTGAAAACATTTTGACTGATTTTGAGTTTTCTGTAGTTTTCTTACACTTCTCCAGAGAAAGGAATCCCCTTAATACAGAGAGTGGTGAATCTCTTAAAATCAGACGTAGCCATCTTTATAAGTATGTTCTCCAAGTCACTCCAGTTGATTTGTAGCAATATGTACTTAGCCTTCCAGTTTGGTCATTTGTGAGGGCTAAGTATTGCTAATTTGTTTTCTGTGGAGGATATCAATAACTGCATATTATCTGTCTTCCAATGTACTGCTTCTAATAAAGTCTTAATTGAATTAACTTGGCTTGTGTGGTCTGGGAGACTGACCTTGCTGCAGCTTTGGCTGTCTGGGATCCCATTTGGGAGTCTAAGGTTTACAAAAAAAGATTTTTTTCTTCTCTTCCCTCTTCCACTAATTGTTTTCAAACCTGCCCAATTCCGAGGTGGTGTAAATGACATGCGGGAAGGTGGGTGTATACTGCAGGCTTGGGGGAGAGGACTGTAGCCTGAAGAGTAGCCAACAGGAGGATATAAGATAGTGTGTGCATTTACACCCATTTCAGGAACATACACTATTATTTCTGGCACCGTTGAATTGACCCCGTGTATCTTGACAAAGCTTTGCTTTGTGACTTGCTGCCAAATGTTATTGCCCTTTCTTGGAAAACTCTGAGAAATGTTTGAAAAGGTCAGTTCTGTTACCAAGCTCTGCAGATGGTCTGGTGAGCCATCATTTAATAGCGCTCCCTCCTCCTTAGAGCTCCCCACACCTCTCTTGTTTATCCTGGTTTTTAAATTCAAGGTGATGAATGTAATTACACCACATTATGGGTGCACTTTCCAAATTTAGTGAAATTTCAACAAATCTGTCATTGGCTAACTATGAAAGTGATGGTGGGAAAATCCTAACTGATTTTCTTGTGCACTTTGTGTTTCTTTGTTTCTTAGGGAAGTATGATGTTTTGCATCTGCAATGCTTCTTTGTTCTGCTGTCTGCTAATGAAAATAACCCTGAACTGAGAAGTGTTGGTGTTAATCTTGTTTTATAAATTTTCAATCACAACAGATTTGTTTAAGCCTTTTTTTTTTATTGCTTCCATGTTTAATTTTAGACATTAAATGCATTTTAATCAACTGGCCATTTTTATTTTTAAAAAATTATTGTTGTAAGGTCAGTGTATAGTAGGTTGGGTTTCATCTTTCAAACCTGGAGGGCTAAACTTGATGGTCTTCAGGCTTCGGCCTCTGTTTCTGCAAACACACATGCATAACTGTTTATACTCATGGGTAAGTCCCCTTGAATTCATTACTAGTGTGAAAAGTTGAGCAAGTACAGACGTGTTAGCAGGATTAGGTCCTTAGCTCTTATCCTTGAACAAAAATGTTTTCGGTAGGTGGACGTAGTCAAAAGCAGAGAGATATTTTTGGTCACCTGCTGATAGCTTGAAGTTTCAATGACATATTGCATATAACCTAGTGTTTTTAAACACTGAAGACTACTAATCTTGCTAATTATGGATTTCAACTGACGGATCAGGAAGTTTGGGCAGTTTGTTTCTCTTCTGTTTTTCCTGTAAACATGAATGGATGAAATGTTCTGTAGAATTAACTCAGAAGTGAATTTGAAGTTCTATAATTAGAAATAATGACAGGTTTCAGAGTAGAGGCCGTGTTAGTCTGTATTCGCAAAAAGAAAAGGAGTACTTGTGGCACCTTAGAGATTAACAAATTTATTTGAGCATAAGCTTTCGTGAGCTACAGCTCACTTCATCGGATGCATTCAGTGACTGCAGGAATCTTGATTCAATGACTGAATTATGCTTATGCTCAAATAAATTTGTTAGTCTTAAGGTGCCACAAGTACTCCTATTCTTTTTAGAAATAATGTGTTTCACTATTGATCTTTTTCTTTGAAACTTCGTAGGAGGGGTGATACCATATTTTTTTTTAAGTTCATTTTGCATTGCATCAAGTTTAGAACAAGACTTTTTCATCTCTTTCTGTGTGACTAAGAAGATAAAAGTTCTTGTCATGTCAGTCATCTCTTGCAAATGATATGTTGCATTTTGGTACTTTGGGGGGTTTATAGTAAATGGACTTCTAACAGAACAAGACCGCTTTAAGATGGACATGAGAGGTTTCATTTCTCTTTTAAAAACAGACAGAACTTTGGTTTGATTTAGAGTTCTGCTTTTGCTAAAGAAAAAGGTATTTTTGTTGTTGGGGGTACTTTACAACAGTGAAGTGAATAAGATTTTGATCTTCGGGTCTATCATATTTACATTCCAGACTGCCTGGCTCCAGATAGAAAGTAGAAATGGTAACTTCCTACCTAGAAATCTAGTTACTTTGAACATGGGTTTTCTTGTTGTAAAATAAGTATCTATTGTTGTTGGGTTATCTAAGGGGTTCTCAGGACAAATTTTTTGATATCCTCGGAGTATAGCCACGCTTTTTCCTAAAATACTTAATTAGTTTTAGGAAAAACAAATAAATATGTGCATATACATGTCCAAGTTATTGTAATTTATTTATTGCTAGCTAGTAAGTCTGTTTGTGAAAAGTGATATTAACAACGTACAAGTATCACTTTTCACAGCAAACTTACTCAGCCCTGCCAAGCCTGGAGACAATTAAGCCCTGGATGGGAGGGTCGGGGAGGCAATGGGGGTGGGTGGATGGGGGGCCAGTGGGGGCAACGGGGGCCTGGAGCCTGAAGCCCCACGACCAAAGCCTGCTGCCCCGCCACCCCAGGGCTGAAGCCCAAACCCTGAACCCTCCCCGCCCCGAGGAAGGTGGGGAACTCACCAGCTGTCTGCTCCTCCAGGGTTGTGCCCCAGGTGTCTCAAGAAGGAGGCAGGGACCAACTCCTGCTAGCAGCCCCAGCAATCAACGCCAGAGTGGTGCATGCAGGAGCACCAGCGAGGGGGAAGGGCCGCTACTTTGCCCCCCTTCCATCACAGCCCAGGAGGCTGTGCCACAAGAAAAGCCCCTGATGGTCGCATACACCACAGTGGCTGCACTTGAGAAATGCCTAGTATTTGTGGTAGAAAGAATCCTTGTTCCTGCAACTGTATTAGATAATCAAGATTCCAATATATTTTCAGTACTCAAAAGCCTCACCCTTTATCATTTATCTAGAGTTGGAGAGACAATACTGTTGGAATCTGGACTGATATACAGTGTACAGATTGCAAGATTACTGTTTCCAAATACTCCTTTTCCAAAAATAGACTAGTTGCTTGATTCCTTTAAGAACCAAACCAAAAACACTTCTAATGTTATGTTATAATAAACCTGTGTTAGTGACTGTCTTTTTCAGAGTCTGGTATTCATCAGTGTTAATTTTTAAAGGCACACATTTTATTTTCATACTGATTCTTAATATTGGGGAAGGGAATTGTTAATTTTATTTTTAAAAATATGGAGTATTGGAAAGAATACTGGCATCTGTAAAGTGGTGTGGAGATGGAGATAATTTAAAAGGTCATTTGTCCATTTGAGTTTACAACTACTATACCTTATGTGCCTTAGATTAGATCATTGTGTCTCATACAAGCTTATGTTCAAATAAATTTGTTAGTCTCTAAGATGCCACAAGTACTCCTTTTCTTTATACCAACCTATGATTTCTCCTGCAGGAGACATAGTACTAACGACATGTACAAATTGAGGACCCTTCTTTCTGAGTTAGTATATGATTATAGATCCAGGGCTCTCTTTACCTCCATTCTTCCCCCATTCATCCAAGGAAGTGCATTTTTAATGTGGACACTTTCCAAGGGGACCTATGAGTAATTGCTGTAGTGGATCTCAGACAACTTACTGCATTGCTTTCTAAGTCCAGCGGAAGCCGCTGGTTTGAGCTACCTAAGTCCAGCGGAAGCCGCTGGTTTGAGCTACCCTGCCAACAGTTGTGTTGCTGTAACAACTCTCATCTTCAGGAGTTTAGGTGTTTTTACTTACTCCTCCTCAGCTCACTGTTTAGAAGAGCTTTTGGATACCTTCAGGCTTGTATGTGACATACTTCTGTTTCCCTCCCTCCCCCCAGCATTTATAGGTTAATTTCTTCAGCGTGTGTCCTCAGAGGGTGAGTGCTGCTGGTGTTAGTGGCAAAGGCTGAAGAAACCTGCCATTCTATACAAGCTTTCCACCAAAGAACTGGGGAGAGTAAGTAATTTTTTTTGTTTTACTTTCTGCACTCATATTGTCTCAGCTTTCAGGCATTCAGGAGTATGTTTCTTCCTCATTGAGAGGGAAGTGAGTGGTGACTGACCCAGCATACAGTCTTTTTATACACAATATGCATGTACTTTGTGTGTAATGCTTTTGAGTGAAGACAAATGAAAGCGACAAAACTCACACAGATGAGACAGCCCTTTCAAAGCCCGAGTAAAACCAGCTGTGGGTATACGGGCTTGTCTACACTCACAGATTGTGGCATTTTAACTATACTGGTATGGTTAAAGCATTACAAGCTCCTAGTGTGATATAAGAGTTCTTATAAGAGATATAATATACCAGTACAGTTTATTCCCCTTCTCATGCAGGAATATCTATACTGGTGAAAGGCATCTTTATACCGATATAATAGCATCCACGCTAGGGGATGGACTGGGTTAACTATTGTGGTTTTAAAAAAAAATTACACCCCTAACTGACATAGATATCCTTGAACAAAATTTATCCGTAGACTTAGCTTACGTTCCCAGTCAGATTGTGGTTTCTATCTTTGGCCTTGTCTGAACTGGGAAGATGAGTGACTGTTTAAAACCTATTGGTTAACAGAAGTTAGTTAATAACATTTTTAAACACTACTTAGCACCTACTAAGAAAGAGAGACTGTGATGTTTAAAAATGGTTTAGTTGGTCAGGATTGGGTAGATCTTAGTACTGACCACAATCAGCTAACATTTTTTAACACTGTCTAGGTCTATATAGAAGCTAAGTGGCAGTTAAAAATTACATATTTACATCACCACTCATTTTCCCAATCTAGAAGTGCTTTCTCTGCTTTAAGTCCCTCCCAAACACATGAAGGGCTTGTGCAATAGTTATGCCACTGTAGCACTGTTGTCTATACACTTCCTACGTTGACAGAAGGGCTTTTTCTGTCACTAATTAATCCACCTCTCTGAGCAACAGAAACTAGATCAACAGAAGAATTCTTTCATCAACCTAGCTACGTCTACACTGGGGGTTAGGTTGATCTAACTACCGTGTTGGGAGCAAAATTTTTCATAGCCCAGAGTGACATAGTTAGGTGGATCCAGTTTTGAAGTGTGGACCATGCCATAAATCTTCGCAGGAGAGCTTGTGCCTGGGCTACTGATCAACACCTCTGGCCAGATTCAATGTCGCTCAGTCTCCTGGTGCTTTGTGCCAGACCTGACAGCACAGAGAATGGTGCCTGCTCACCTCCTTTGTGTGCCCCTGGTTTTGGAGCTACTGAGGCACCTTTAGCCTGTGATGCGAATCAGGGCCGTTTCTCTCCAGCCAGTTGACGGCTATCTCATAACAAAAGTCAGGAAGACTATTTGTACATACTCATCCCAAGTCTTTTCATAGGTTTAAGTGTGAGGCAAAGTCTAAACCAATTCACTTTCATGTGCAATATCGTACTAAATGCTTTGAAGACCTCTGGAAGAACTATAAATAGTTTTCTGGACTGTAGCATCATAATACTGTGCATCTTGAGCATTTATGGTACCTACAATTATACAAACAAAAATATAATACACAGAAAACAAAAACACGGGTCTGAATTTTATTGACACACTTCTACTGTTGTTCACTGTTCAGGTACCTGAAACTCCATTTTTTCCTTAAGAAAAGTAAACAGAAAAACCCTCCTTAAAATGTCATTAAATATTAATGTATGCAGTGTTGTCGCAGCTGCATTGGTCCCAGGATATTAGAGAGACAAGATGGGTGAGGTCATATCTTTTATTGGACCAACATGTGTTGGTAAGAGAGACAACCTTTCAAGCTTACACAGAGCTCTTCTTAAAGACTTAGGAAACATCCATTTGCACACTCTTACATATTATGTAACTTTACACATGTATGTTACTTATGTGAATAAGAATTCACAGGATCATTGGCTGAGTGTTCATTTGTAGTGACTTCTGCCATATCTATGTTCTGGTCATTAACTGGGTGTGTGGGTATCAACTTAGTGGTCCATTTTCTTAACAAAAGTTGCTTTGCACTAGATGGAAATAAGAATTGTCCTCTTTTAAAATGGTATTTCAGCTACAAACAAAATGTAGTTTTCTCTTTTTCTGTTGTGTTTTTGTTGCAGTCTTAGCTCTGGTCTACACTACGAACTTATGTCGATATAACTGTGTCGCTCAAGGACGTGAATTTTTCCCACCCCTGAGTGACATGGTTTTATCAACCTAACTGCCTGTGTAGACCTATGCTGATGGGAGAAGCTTTCCTGTTGGCGTAGTTAACGTCTTCACTAAGCACTATAGTAGTGCAGCTGCACCGTAAGTGTAGACAAGCCCTAATTGTAGCTGGAATCTTATTTTTCATTTTAATCCAGTTATACTCTAATGTAACCATATTTAGTGGAAGATTTTTCAAATATCCTTGATTAGCTTTATATTTATCATCAGTTTGGTTGCACATATAACTATTTGTATTAAATTAATTTCATGCTATTTCAGTAATTTACTTTAATTAAAAAATGCACTCATGAAATAATTGAAAGAGGGAGAGGCAAAGAGTAGCGGGACTACTTTTTTGCACTGTAATATAAAATACTTGCAATAAGTTAAAAGTCCTACACTAAAATTCTTTGTCTGTATCATAATTACATTGTGTAATGGACAAGTTTAAATATTCTAGGGCTATAACAGGGTTGTCTTGGTCCTTGTAGGGGCAGGGCCAGCCAACTTTGTTCCAAATGAAGCCTCTTTTATGAGGGGTAGTTCCTGGAAGGATCACCAGAGGTGTTGGGATTTTTGGAGGGGGAGGTGGGGAGTAGGACAGGTGACTGAATCATGTGACTACCTGCTGAGATTATATAAAAGAACGGTGTTAGCTCAGAGTGGAAAGCAGAGTGAAAAAATAAGGTTCACAGCCTGGTGCTATGTAAGGGTTTCAGGACCAAGCCCAAGCTATGGACCTGCAATCCTTACTCTGGAAAAACTCCTTGAAACCCATAAGCACTAACCATGGCTCTGCATATTTTTGTAAGGGCTGCAGGGGCTCTTGCAACCTTAGGTCTTTTTCTTGTCTTCCAGTGCCATGGTGAGCTCCTAAACTGTCCAAGTCACTATATTCATGGGATAGGAACTAACCCTATTCAGTTCCTTATGTTTTGAATGGCTTCAAGGAAACAAGCTAATAGCTCAGGACAGTGAAGACCGTTAAGCCAGTTTACCTTCCTCTTAGCTCTTTAAAGGGTAAAGGTCACTGAGGCAGAGGGAGATCAAAAATTTCAAGGCATTATCTGCCTTAACTCTGAGTTCTTTGAGTGTATGTCAGTATGGATCCCACTGTAGGTGTGCTTGTCCCTAATGTGTGTGAGATCAGAGTCTAATGAATAGCAATAACCGATGAGCTGTGCATGCACCCTGTGCCTCCTCATGCTCCCGTATGAGGGCCCAAAGAATATGGCAGCTGCGCTACCCCTGTAGCAGGATGGTGAGACTCTCCTGTAGAGTCCCCCTTGTATACTTACCCTGTATAGGGTGCCTTAACAGGCAAACTATAAACCTATGGCTTCAAGGTCTGCAATGGGCTAATTTAATTACAAGATGGACTCAGCCTCTTCTGTTTGGGAGAGAGTCATTTTGACAGGGTTCTGGGCAGGAACTCCTGAGCCAGCCCTCTCTCACGCCAGCTCCAATTAAGGGAGGTAGATTGGAGCTGGCTAGAGAATCCTGCACCATTGGCAAATGGGAAACAGCTGCCAGCCTAATTAGCCTGGGGCTACATACAGGCCCAGGGGAAGAAAGGAATAGGGTGGGAGCCAGAGAGTGGTAACTCTTCCCTCCTGGGTGCAGAAGCTGAGAAGTCCTTAAGGCTGAAAACCCAAGCTGTAGGTGGTGGGAGTGCATGCTGTAAATAAACCACACTGGTGATTGGTAAGCTCCAGGGTCTGCGTGATTTGTGAACGCAGCAGAAGCAGGAGCAAGGGGGTCTTGCTACACTCTGCTACAGTCATATACTGGATAAATGCTCAATGTGACAGTTGTTTTCTTCAAGTCAGAGGAAGAGTGGCTGAAGCTGTACTTGCTGGAACAGTCTATGGAGATCTCTTTGTACGAGGAGGAGACAGGTACCAGAAATCATCAAGTACTGGGCAATCCAGCTTCCTTGAATGCCCCACCTAGCAGACAGACATCACCTAAAACCAATGTGGAGAAGACAGCACCAAGAAAATACCAGTTTCCAATGTTGACACTGCCAGCACTGAAGCTGACATCATCAGCAACGGAGCCAACACTGACGCCTCTGGTACCAAGGCTTGGCACTGAGAGTCCTCCCTGATCAAAAGTGAAGTGACTTCAGATGGAGCTCAGTATCTTCCCACAAGGAAAGAATACATCAGGCCTCTTGAGGAGATAATCACTAAGCCCCAGACATCATAGAGAGCTAATAATAAGGGACTGCCTATCTCCCTGACAGAGAGAGAGAGATTCTCTGGCACTGATGAAACAACCTTCTATATTGTTGCCTTCAGCGGAATCACTGAGGCTACTGAACATGCCCCTGGAAGAATTGGAAATGACCTCCAGTACCAAGGGACTTACCAGTACTGATGCAGATGCCAGTGCCCAGAGGTTTGTATACGTTGGCCCCTCCCCTCAAGGTGATGTACTTCTCTCTGTCACTGAGGCACACATTCCCATCTTCTTCGAGCAGAGAACCCCCTCCGCTGAGGTCTGTGGGCAAGATAATAGAAAAACCAGGTGATATACAGAGCTCAGCTGCTCTCACTTCATCAGGAATGGCACTGGTCTGTCCAATATCAGACAGGCCAGTCATATCCCTATGGCATGTTACAGTGGGCTTGCCAGGGTCTGTATACAAATGCTTCTAAGAGCTGATCTCCATCCCAGTCTAGGAAGAGAAAGATCACAGTCCCCTGTGGCATCCCTGGCCAAACCACCCTCACCAGTTATGGAGGAGTACTAAGGGGAGCCAGAGGCCAG